AACGAAGAAACCAAGAACTAGAATTGCCTGTTAGGAACCAAAGGTTCAGTAACCAGCTCAGATACATGTATTGTTCACCAATCCACAAAGTATCCCGCGCTGATTCCTTTCAAGCAGTCGCTCACCGTAGTGGCACCGCCGGCGATCCCCGCCACGGCGGCACCCGTCGAGATAGCCGCAAACGTCAACGCACTCCCGATGGTGGTCTGAGCCGCGAAGAAGGTGATGATCCCCACCGCGGCGGCACCACCCCCGACAGCCGCCGCGGCCGCCACAAACGGGGCAAAGCAGAGGCTCGCCACCTGGGCGGGGGAGAGCGCGTGCTCCACCACACTCAGCCTCCACAACGCCCTCGCGGGGATCTGGGCCACCGGCTGGTTGTCGGGACCGCCAATCAGCTCCACGCCTGTGCCGTCTGGGGTAGCGGCCAGCAGCTCGCCGTTCTGAAAGCTCTTGAAGGCCACCACGGGGGAGTGGTCCCCCTCCAGTTGCAGGTAGAGCACCCTCCACCACCGCCTCTGCTCCCAGCACTTGTTTCCGTCCAGAGCGGCCCCCTGAAAACAGAGGTCGGCACTGTCGAGGAGAGACTGGGGGTGTTGGTCGGTGCGGATGAGGATGGTCTTCGCCACGTCATTTTCACCTCGCTCGCACCACTGCAGCTTGAACATGGATGCCCTGTTGTGTAGTATTTGATAATTACAATCAATAAAAGATCATCTCAAGCGTGATGGAGCAATATGCACCTGGCGTCCATGGTGTCTAAGGTTGCTCGCCAATCCGAGTTCTTGAGGTAGCGCCCAGCACCAACGTTGAAGAGGCTGCAGCGAGGCTCGGTCATGGTCGCACTGTTTGTGAGTGTCGCGGTTGGTACAAACCACTGGCCGACTGGCGTATGTTTGCATTTATTTAGGCTCGTTGAGGAGGAAGGACCCCACCCATTGGCTACCAAATAGGTCGCCTCCAGTAATTACTAGGTCAGTCGGTAGTTTGTTACCCACCAGTGGGGGAGGATTGTTTTGGGCAAGAGCGATTGTTGGGGGCCTTTGGGGTGGGTTCTTTTGAAACTCACGCCCTTTGCTTGGCGAATTTCTTCATGGTACCTACAGGGATTTCAATTTGGTCATGGTGTTCACCCAGTCAGGCGTTCTGGTGTCAGGGCTGATAAAAGAGACTCTCCTGTACAAGGTTTGCAGACTGGTTCTCACTTCCATTAACATCCTCAATGAGGAGACCTACAACAAGCTCAAGAAGGCCAGCCTACATGTGCTGTACTGCCCCAGGAATTACTGTTAGAAATTTCTTGGTGTGAGCTTTTCCGCCTTGAGATGAAGGGCTCCATCCCCTTCCAATTATACCTTCTTTACATCTCCCAAAAATATACGAAAATAATTTATCGCTTCTGGTGTACGACACACTTGAGGAGGAAGGCGCTCGAGATGAACAGGGCCAGGACCCAGCCCACCATGACGAGCGAATCGCGCAGCATGTTATCGGCCGACATTCCCAGGCTATCCAGGAACTGCTCGCCGGTCGTGATGGGGCAGTAGTACGCCGTCGCCGTTCCTCCGGCGGCCAACTCAATCGGGACCTGTGTCGTTTTTAGGAATATAATATTAGATTTTTTATAACATATTATCGATAATATAATATGATTTATATACAAAAAAATGACTTTTTGTATCAACAGGAGCAGTACCTGAACGAGCTCGCTGTCGGAGCAGTGGAAGTCCATGCCCTTGATCTCGTTGATCAGCAGGGCCTCGATGGGGTACATGTTGACGTCCAGGTAGTGGAGCCAGATCCAGTAGTCGGGGATCTTGTTGCGCGCGATGAGGAAGCCGGCGAACATGGAGAGGACGGTGAACACGAGGCCCGCCATGACGTTGGCCACGGCGATGTTGGGCGCCGAGAAGCAGAGCGTGTAGACCACCACCAGCGAGATAAGGTTGGCCAGCAGGTAGAGCGCGAAGAAGATCCAGAACTTGCCCGCCTCGTACTGCAGCCCCGATATGAAGTACACCGGAACACTGGACACACACGACACACGACACACGTTAGTACGGCGACGCGGTGTGTGCGGTGTGTGCGGGCGTACACAAAGGTGACGGTGTTGATCAGAATGTAGGGCAGCTCGATGGCGATAAGGCTGAGCAGGTAGATGAGCGACGAGTAGGTGCGCGAGGCCCGCTCGCGGTACATGGGCGGCCGCGACAGGATCAGGTTGGCCTTAAGCTCTGCGCACACCACACGCAGGTGAGCAATGACGTGGCATGACGTGGCACACCAAGCTGGGGTGGGGATGGAGGTGCGACGTACGAAGGGCGCCCATGTTGGAGAAGAGGAGGGCGTAGTAGAGCATGCCCACGCGTTGGGTGTTGGAGGCCTGGTCTCGGCCCAGGTCGAGGAAGTAGGTACCCAGCACGACGCCCATGACGATCGGCAGCGAGAGCTTCATGACGAACTCCTCCGGCTGACGCCAGTAGCTCTTCGTCCCGCGCACGAACATCTCCCACAGCTGCGTGGTCGGCAGGCTCGCGTAGCGGTCGCTCAGCCGCCGCTTGATCTTGTGGTGCCATCGCTTCTCCCGCGCGCCGTCGTCCGTGCCGCTCTTGTCCATCACTGCGGCGGCGTAGATACCGCGCGTGAGCTCCTGGTCCGCCGACGCGTAGAAGGCCGACTGCCTGTAGGCCTGGACGAAGTAGTTCTCGTCGGTCTTGGCCAGCTTGCCCTCTTCCTCTTCCTCTGAGTCATCGTCATCGCTGTCTTTGGTGGATTTCTTGGTGATACCCGCACCAGTCACCTGTTACGTTGAGCGTGAGTGAATGAAAC